CGTGTGCTTTGCTTCGGCGGTCTCCTGCTGGACGTCTTGAAGGACGCCTTGCGTGACGTTGAGGGAGGCCAAGGCATCCAACTGCTGAGTTAGCCTCGGCTGAAGAAAGCCAGTTCGTGAAGCCCATATACATATAGATATTTATTTATTTGTTTATTTAATTTATTTATAAGTGTTTATGCTGTTTTGGGTTCCTATCCAGCTGAGCTCAACGAGAGAAAGAAGGCAAGGCACGCCTGTCCAACCTCGGAAACCAGGGCGGAGTCCAAGGCTGGCAAGCAGATGTCGTCGAGCCCTTCTTCCAGGCCTCGGACGCCAGGAAACTCCGCCTCTCCTCGCTGGCTTCTCTCGTTTCAAGGATTTTCAGGGCAAGCCACTCACGCCGGGAAAGGGCACCTGAGAGAAAGCGTCGGAAGATCTTGCTTGAACCTTTCTCGAAGTCTGCTTCGCCAGGGCGCACAATAGCGGGCATCGTAGGGGCACTGCTCCGAGCTCCATGCTGGGAACTCCAACCTCCAGCTCCAGCACAGCTGCCCTTCCCCGAGAAGCAACTGCTGACACGGTAACTACCCTTCTAGTGACCTCTTCATGTCAACCCGTTGTGGTACCTAGTAGCCCTTTCGTACATATACACACACACACATATATATATGTATGTATATGTATATGCATACATGTTTTTGTATTTTTCTATATATATATATACATATATATATATAAGCTCCACGATTCGTTAATCTTCCCACCTGAGCCCCGCAGCTGCTCCAGAGGCGGCAAAGCGCTGCCAGGCAGCGGCCCAGGACGCCTCAGACGGAGAACTTCCTAAGGGCACCGAAGAACCCAAGCCAGCATATAGAATTTAAAGTGAAGACAATCTCAATAGATTTCATCTCAATAGATTTCTATAGTCTGTTCTTACATTAAATAGTCAATGTTCTAGTCATAATCTGCTGGCTCTCCGTGACAAAGCCGCGATGTTTGCCTCCTGCATGGCTAGGACCATACAGTAATTTAGAGCGACGGACTTCCCTTACATCTCCATGATCGCTTGTGAGAATTTCCTTAAGTCTTGTGCGAGAGGAAAAGCCGAGCACTTTGTTGGCCAAGTTTCCCCTGGTGGAGCGCTATAGGAAAACGTGCGATTCCTCGGCCAAACCGTCCACAACAAGAGATCGACCCCGATGCGGCCGTAGGACTGTCCAGATTCCTGAGCCTTGCACGTACTTGCTTGGCAGGAGCTGGTACATACCTGCAGGTTCTTTCGAAGCCGTAAACATGGAGCTTTTTACATAGGAAACTACCCAGAGGCTCCATAGTAGTTCCTTTTTGGGATTACCTTATTATAGGATCCGAAATATAAATCACAAAAAGGAACTACTATGGAGCCTATGGGTAGCTTAGACTTAGCCCAGATGCCGGCGTAAGGTAGCTGGTGGCCTGGCTCAGAACCTCCCAAAAGAAGAGCTCAGAGCGAAGGTGCAAGTCCGTGCCAAGTTATTTCTGCAGCCTGGCGACGGTGGTGGGTGTTGGGAAGATGCCGTTGCCAGCGAGCTGGCTTAGTGCTTTCGAGGGATCCTTGGCTTTGGCATGGCTGCACCGCTACTCCCCGGCCCATACATCATAAACCTGGACCCGCACTAGGGCCCTTAGGGATCCGGTGTTGAAGCGCACAAGGGCTCAAGTGACAAGGCACGGCAAGGCTGCTCTGCAAAGCCGCCAAGGCATCGGAGGCCACACTAAACGAAGAGCCTGGGAGAGTCCAAGCAATTGATAACCGCTTGTGCGGCGGCTTTCAATGCCGCACAGGCCTCGCTGTGCCACCGAACTCACTTCCAACCAAACGAACCTACACGTCAGCCTTCAGCTTCAGCCCGATGTGCCTCCGTCACAATACTGCGCGAGCTCGGGCGGATCCAGCATGTCACGACCCGCGGAGCATAGCATCTCGGCAGCAGGTCGACAAAACTCAACCGTCGGCCGCTCGTTCGCCACTTGGAAACAACGGGTCTTCGACAGCAGGGCAGCGATCTCAAGGTCCAAGGTGCCTCCACGGCCATCTTGTCGAACGTCTCCTCAAACAATGCCGCATCGACGGTAGGACGTGCATTGGCTCAGATGACGCAACGGGCGCTCCGAAGGGCTCATGGTGAAAGACAACTTCGGGAACGCCACGACGCTGGCACCGACACTTGGGCCTGTCATTTCTGTGCTTTTCTGGTGGGCCGCTCCTCTACTGTTCCTTCGAACTGAACCTTCGAGAGCCTCCATCTGAAAGGCCGCAGAACGCGCCCCGGAAGTCTCGAGGCAAGTAGAGCTGCTGAACGTGGCCTCTTGAGTGGCGATACATGTTCGCAAGCCGCTCGAGACATCGTTCGAACAAGCCAGAGCGCAATCCGGAACAAGCTATGGTGCAAATTATGGACATGCCCGCCAACACTATCGACAGTATCGACTTGACGCTGCGACGTTCGTGCTCGCTACCATTCTACAACTTGCACATTTTTGACATGATGCCCGCGAACAGCATCCTGGTCTTGAAGATACTGTAATGCTCGTGTTTTCTTGCTTGATGATACCAAACACTCGTGCTCGCTACCATTCCATATCTTGCACATCGCAGCCTCTCGGTCCCTCCCCAACAGTCGTCCCCACCCTTGGCTTGGCTGCCCCCGCCAATCCCATAGGCCCACAGTCAATCTGCGTTTTCGTACCGGGCTGGAGCGGTTTCGCAGCTTCTTCTCCGTCCCAAACAAGAGCTCCCCTTCCCCCCCGCTCCTGCCCCCCGGCTGTTTCGTTGCTGCAGAAGCCCGGCCGGCCTTCTTTCATCTCCCGCTACAGTATGCCCGAGGTGGCTGCAGCAGCGGAGGGTCTACGAAGCTGCTGGCCGCGAGAGATTTGCTGGCGAGGTCCATCGTGTGGGTCGGACGCCCTTTTGGGCCAAGTCTCGGGAGCGGGTGACTGTGGAGTGGGGAGAGCCCACTCCACAGTCGGACGGGGTGAGCCTTTTCGAAAAATGTGCTTTTTACTGTCAATCGTCTCCCCTATAAGCTGGCCCAGTTGCTTTGCTACTCTGCTGGCTCTACGCCTGAGAAGGCTAACTTGCAGAGCGGCGCTAGCCCGGAAAGAGAATGCGACGTAAAGCAGTTCAGCAGGCCTTGCTGGAAGCCTTGTGACACAAGGAACCAAAAGGAAGCTGCATGTCCAAGAAAAAGGCAGCAGCACGGCACGTCCTTAGTTCCAAAGCTCAAGCGGAGGCTTCTTGTTCTTTTGCAACTCTGCGGGCCCCGGGCTCAGTTTACTTAAGCACTGCTCGGCTCAGGGCCACGGCTCCGTGCAGTGCCTATTCGCTATCGGCCCATGTTGCAGGGCTCGCTGCGAGGCGCCACCGCCTTTTTGCAGAAAAGCGCACAGTAAAGGCAGCATCAGGACAGCATCCAGCCTTCTGGCTGGGGCTTGAGAGGCAGCATGCCATCTCAGCCGCGCGTTGCGAAATCTAACATGTGCCTCTGCCTTCTCTCTCGCATGTGAGTGGTGTAAGGACTGCTCGTCGTAAACTTTAGGCAGGAAGTGTTTGGCCCACCGTGTCACTTCCCGGCAAGCCACCGCACGGTCATGGGGTCCATGAGGTTCGAATACATGCCTAACTGGCTCATCGGACAGCCGAATGCTGCAGCAAAGATTTCATCGCCAGGCTTCGCAGATTTGGCGAAGCAAGAATCATGGCAAGGCTTCCCCCTCTTCTCAGCAGCAAACATACTACCTTGTCCCTGCCTCTTCGTCGACTGTGCCGCAGGGATGCGAGTGAGATCACTCGCCTGGCGTCGGGAGCCAAGAGCTGCAAACTCGCACCCGGTGCAGCTGCTGAGAACGTGTGCGCTGCGTCGTTTTTTTCTCCATGTGGCCCGGGTTAAGCCTGGAAGCATGCTCCCGCTTTGGAGAGCTTCACAAGGGGCTCCACGGGCTGCTTAGGAGCTCTTTCGCTCCACCGCAGTACTACATGTGAAACCAGCACTAAGCCCCATCAATCCCCAGCAGGTCACGTCATCGCGGGCGCTGGCCAGTTCTCACACGGAAGCCATCGCCGCAGCGCTTCTCGTCGTGGCCTTCGCAGGGCTCAGCGTGCGCAGGGATCTCCCGGCTCCTCAACAACTTTGCCCTCCCGATGACTCCCATCTCCTCTCAGCGGCTGCAGGCGCTGCCAGGGCCAGGCAGCAAGCCGGCCAGAGCTGTCACCAACAAGCACGACGGCCTGTTATTCGCAGCCACAAGCAAAAAAGGCGTCCCTGGTCGTGTTCGGCTAGGAATCTGTCTATCGTGCCCTTTGCCTCCGCGGCGTCCTCCCCAGCTGAAGGCGGCATGAAGCAGATGCCTCAGGCTTCCCGGAGAAAGATGGGGGCCGGGCCCAAGGGGAAGGGGAGTCCCTTAGATGGTCGGGGCACACCGCGCCGCGATGCAGGAGGTCGGAAGCTTCAGGTTCCGGGACCTTAGGAAAGAACTGTCAGGATCATCCAAGCAAAAAAAAGGCGGAACTCGGCGAGCAGCTGGAACTGGCCCGTGTCCATGTCCCAGGAGACGACTCTGTAGCACTCCTTGGATAGCATGAAGCCTGGCTTTCTGCAAGCCCAGGCTTTGAGCTTTGCTCGATTGCACTTCGAGGCAGAAGGCGTTGAAGGACAGAAGTGCAAGGCAAGCGTCCGCTGAGACCAAGGTCTGCTCCTGGCGCCCAAGGTTTGAAGCCTATAGGCCTCGCCTCGAAAGGGTCTGCGTTCTGTGCGTTCTCTGCGTGCGTCCTCCAAGCTTTGGGAAACGAAGGCCAGAGCAGAAACCGCCCCACCCTCGTAGCGGTGGAGAGCACACCTGGAGCCCGGAGCACAGTCTTTAGACAATTTCCGACATTTGCGCCTGCTCGCAAAGAAAGCTTGCAGATTGCAGTCGAGAGACACGAGGTGCTCGATCTCGACATCCCACAACGTGACCCTTCCATTCGCCTTGCAGGTACAGGCATGTCAGGAAAGGGCGCTGCCACTAACTTACTACTGTTGATTCTATGGGAATTATGGTATATTCCTTATTATTATGTTTTTTATTATGAATTATGGTATATATATTCCTTATTATTATTATTGTTATTATTATTATATCATCAACCGTAGTATCCCTGGCAGTCGTGAGCTATTTTTACATCCGCCTCGCCGGCGGCGACCAAGCCAAGGAAGGGCGACGCGGCAACGGCCAGCACGTTGCTGGAGCAGTCGAAGGTCTTCCGGGCTTTCGACGTCTCGATGTCCCACACCGTGACCTGAACTTCCCCAAAATGGCCATGAAGAAACACAAGGAGAAAGTCCCCCTATTATTGGAAGGAAAGGAGTGGGAAGCCGGGAAGTTAAGGGGCCTTGAACGCCGAATCTCCAGTGACCACGGCTCTGCCCATGGTCCCATTCTCACTCGCCGGGATGAGCTTCGGCATGATCCTTGAAGCAAAGGATCCATCTCAGAAAAAAAATATCAGGCGACAGAATCATCAGAATCTTGTCAGAGGATGCCCTGCATCCTGTAACCCAGCACGCGAAAAGTAACTGTGCTACAGGAATGTGGAACTCTAAGAGGCCGCTGGAAGCCTTAGAAGAGCCTTTAGCACAGCTTAGGCGACTTCTCCGTTTCTTTAGATTTCGGTTGGTCTCCGCGAGCACCTGAAAGCATCTTACGGCCGTGGCTACAATATCTGTGCATGTGTGGTTCTAATGGGTTCGGTACAAGTACATCGTGATCATCACGGGCATCATGATCATCATCATGGTCATCACCATCATCATGACCTTCATTAGTGCAATCGTGCTGATGGTTGACTATGACCCTCTCGTGTGGGCTACAATGTGTCCCCATCTGACTGATGCCGTGGAGCTCTCCGTTGTTGAGCTGCGGGATGTCGCGGATGTAAGGAGCTATAAACCAATATGCAATGGTGTGTACCTGTTAAGCATGGGCGGCCATCATTTTCCAAAAAAGGCTCTGGTCGGACCCTGGACTTAGCCCCGTGCTGTGGCTTTGCACCAGAGCACGGCAAGCTGAAGCCCTGACGTGATACAGGCTGTCCCTGTTCGGTCTGGCTTTCGGTGCACCTAGGGCTTCAAGGCACCACGCCTCGCGTCAGATCCCACAGTATGATCGTGCCGTTCTCCTCCCCGGTAACGACAGCCTGAAGGTAGCTTCGGCCGACACCAATCTTGGGAGTCAAGTGACATGTGGCTTCCACCTTCTTACACGTGGGCTATGCAGCTTCCACCTTAACGCTGAACCCCTAAAACCTTTTTTTCATATCTAAGCTAGCATCATTGAGGCAGCTGATGGCTGAATGTATGTGGTGTGCTCTGGTGTCTGATCGATTCCTTGCTGCCTGTTGCTGAGTTTTACATGCAGTAGCAGTCGCAGGTCCTCATACAGCAGCTGTGAGCACGGGCCTTGATGGCTTCAGCATAGTCAATGCAGGCAACGGCACTTCCACAGCCTCGCACGGGCTTTGCGCAGGAAAGAATCGCGAAGATCAGCCTCCCGCACGAAGCTCAGCTGGCAGCTTAGCTCCCTCGTTGCCTCGGAAGAGCTTCGGGGCTGCCGCTGAAAATCCACATGCGGACCGTGCTTATTCATAGGCTTGTGCAGCTTTTTGTTAAGTTTCTGCAAGGTTGGTTGGCAATTCGGCTGGAGCCGTGATCTAGACTAACGGCCATATCAGATGTCCGAGATCGAGGCAGCACCACTGGTGACATCCCACACAGTCACTGTGCCATCCTCGGCCCGCATAGATGCTCTGTTATACCATGTGAATTTGTACTTGCGACTCGCACACTTGCTCTGCGTGGCTCACAGAACCCCTTTTCCGTCGGACTATTGGGAAAAACACCGCATCCTGCTGTCTTCCATTCCTAAAGTATTCCAAGGCGTCATGGAAGGCTGGCGAAGGCGCTACTGTAACTCTAATATCAACACACTAGTGCAACTCCATTATAAAACATCCCTAATGTAGCTAAACATCCACTATACAACATTGCTATATAGTCTAACCGTCTAACTGTCAGTGATATAGTCATAACAGAACTTGCACGGAACTTCGGGAGCGCGGCCCTTGCGCCGGCCGCTACACTCCGCAGGTGGCGCGCATAGGTCAAGGCCTCTTCGGGAAGAAGCTCGCCTAGACCCTCCATCTACCCTCGAAAGACCCTAAATACCCTTAATTTGGGACCATATACCCCTATTTGAGGATACTTGGAGGGTCCTGGCGGGTTCTCAGTGCTGCTTTAAGTGTGACAAATAATGCAAGGGTTTACACATGCTTTCAAGCATGGGCACCTTGGTGCATCTGTGCATGCTGCCCGTACATATAGAAGAATGCGTCAAGTATTTCGCGGTGTCTGAAAGACATATGCATATGTGCGCACGCCCAGCTGGGGTTGGACCCGGAGGACAGACTTTTCCCTGTCGTGCTGCGTTGCTGCGGGTGTTGGGGCTGTTGCCGAAAAAGCACGGGGGCATGTGTGAATCATTTGCGGCTTTCGCAGCCTATCCATGCTTAACCGATCCGTTTCTGTGCCGCGTTCGTCTTCCGTATAAAAGATACGGTGTGCCCTGGTTTGAGATCTTCAACCCTTGAAACCGAAAGCTGAAAGCCCGCAACCCGAAACCCGATCGTGGCTGCGGCCGGCTTCTGCTTGGGGTAAATTGCTCTTTGGCATTGGGAAGTCTTCGGTCTCGACCTAGTACCTAGCAACCTATTATAGTCTTTCTTCCCTGGCGCATGGCTAGGGATCAATGCCCACAAGCGAGGTTAGCTTGGGAGGATAGGTCCGGCATGGCATTAGCAGTAGCAACCTGGTATATTTTTCCAAGGAAGGGGATTGACATCGACACATCGCGGGGCCTCGCCTGCCAGCATCCCTCGCCGCGCAGGCCGCAGCGCGGAAGCTTCGACTCCTCGGCTTCAAGCACGATGCAAAAAAGACCAAAAACTCACGTCCGCTTGTCGGTGGGTCTGGCTGATCTGTCGTGTCCGTCCGGTCTCGGCGGGTGCAGGCAAATTCGGGGAGCGAACTTGGGCTGAGACACACATCTTTGCATCACGATCCGAAACATAATTCGGGAAACGAACCTCCCGGAGACCCTGCCAGCCCAACCGATGCGACCAAAACGCCTCGCCGCCGACCCAACTGACCAACCTAACCCAACACACCCTCACGACCCAACCCACCCAACCAAAGGACCCAACCACTCAGCCCCCGTCTGCAGCTACGAAAAGCACCAAGATTCCAACGCCTTTGTGGCCGTCACCAACACGCTCCGATCAAGTCCGCAACAGCACAGCTTCTTTGACCAGCTAGCAGCTACGTAGCACGCTCCGTGCGCGCTCATGATGTCAGGACCTGCGCTGGGCCTAAGCCAAGCGGCGAGGTCCCAGGACTGCAGCTGCCAGGCCGTCAGCGTCACCAGAGACTTCGCCTGCAGCCGGCCCTCCGTTGCGCGGAGCCATGGAGCATGCAGCGCGGAGGGCTCTCCCCCCCCCCTCAAAAGCTGCACCTCTTGCGCATAGACCGTGCTCAACACCTCGGCGTCTTTGAAGCTCTGAGCTTCGACGGGGAAAGCAAATGAGATGCCGGTAGGTGCGGCACCGGGCCCTCGCAGCTCAGCTGCCAGAGTGGCTCGGCAGGCATCCCATTGCAGAACCACTCTGAGATTTTTAAAGTTAAATCCCTCTCTGAAGCTCGCAGCCCTCCGCGCTGGGCCTGAAGCAAGGTGGGGCCAGCTCTTTTCAATCCTGGTTTTGGGTTGTCGAAAAAGGTGATGCTTGCCGTCGATCACTTCTACCTGTGTCTATGTGCACGCTGCACAGCTTGTCCTGAACAATCCTCCATGTGCTGTACAGCTCGGGCCCGGACCAAGAAAACATCAAGAATCCCTGTGCAGGCACGCGTCGGAAGGTGTAACTAAATAGGCTGACAAGTCCTTCTAACATGCTGGGAGCGCAATGATCAGCAGATCAGTACGTAGAACTTTTCAACCCAGCCCGGACCAGTCAGACCCACGCTGAGGAACGTACACGGTAGCCCCTTTTTTTGGCGCAGAACCAGCAAACCCCTCGGAAGGGAACCTCCTAATGCCTCTTTGAGCTCAGCAAGCCACCCTGTGCACCACCAGCGGTCACCAGCGCTTATCTCCCCGTCGCTTTGGACGGGTCCGCGCGAAAGGAACCTGGGCGTCTCTCCCGGGCACTTGCGGGTGGCCAGGTCCCAAGAGCAATAGTAGCGAAGCCCTTGTGAATCGTTCCTTAAGAACTTCGTGAGCCCAACTGTGAACTGGGCACCATGCCAACCACGCCAAGTAAGATAGATGCAACCTGCCGGAAGCTGACACGAAATCCGAAAGGCTTTGGTTCTCTCAAACTCATGCAGGGATTCTTGGGGGCTCACGAAGAGGCGGAGTTCTTTGCGTTGGCATTGGCACGCGAGCACGAGCTCCCGCCTGCGGCTCCTTCTGCCACCTCTCGTCGAATGCTGCGCCCACCTGGGGTCAACGTCGGAGGCATGTGCCTGTGTCTGTCTTTCTTGCCCGACACGGTCCCTCACCATCTTCCTCTCCATGTTCTATGGCATGCAAAGGTTTGGTTATGGCAGCATCTACTCCCCTTGCACGCTTGCAACTGACAGTCATACAAGCAGGTTTGGCACCTGTGTCTCTACATACATGCACACAATAGATACATACTGTCAAAAGAGACTTCCGGCCAACTCCTAACCCCCCCCCCCCCCCCCCCACCCCTGGCCCAAGGCTCGAAACGGGAGAGCCTCTCACTCTAACAGCCCCTCTTGAACAGCAAGCCATCCCCACCAGCACGAAGGCATCGCCGTCCACCGTGGTCGATCTGACGATCGCACGGTTCTGGAATTCGGCCTCGGGCGACTTCCGGGGGCCAGGTTTGGGCACCTGGTGATAGACTCACCACTACCCTCGCCAAAATGCCCAAGAAAAAGGCAAGGGATTCTGATGACTGCTACCACAAGCGCGAGGCAGCTTCTTCCGAGCGGCGGATTGCGGGGAGTAGGATGTGAAGAGAAGAACCAGCTGCCTGAAAGTCCCAATTGGGCTCGCTCCGCCCTGCGCTTCCCTGCTGCTTATTCTACCCGCATTCCGCGCACCGCGAGGCAAGCGAGTGACTGCTGCTGGCACTCATGCAGATGTGGCGATGGCGGTGATGATGATGACGACGACGACGATTGGATGCTCACGGCACTCGACGCTTGATTCTGCTTCTCAGATCATTATCGGCCTGTCCCCGCCGGCCAGCTCCTTGTCTTGAATCACCCGCACGTCCGCGGGCTCACCGTAGGCGCCGAACTTGCCTCGCATAGAGAGCCAGGGCAGACAAAGAGCCAGAAAGACAGTTCCACAATCCCTCCAATACCTGTCCAAGATCTAGTTGCATGGCTAGCAATCAAGCCCTGTTCTGCGCTGGCAACAATCAGAATGAGAAGCCTTTGCTGCTGAGCACAGCATCCAGGATCTGCTCCGTCGTCGCAGTTCCGTTCACACCAGGGATCACCTGCACTGAAAGTTCGGATGCCACAAACACCACCAATATCATAGCCAATATTTCTATATGCACAGGCTGTCTTAAAGTCTTAAAGATGTCAACGGATAGCTGCTGATAGCTACATGCAAGACGATGTCAGGGCTGCACAAGACAAACATCCCGCGCAAACTCGAAATTTGCGGATGCCCGTTCTGTGCCTGCAAGAAGGCATAAGCACCCCCACCTGGGAAACAGCAAGAAGCAGAAGACACCGGCTGCTATCGAAGTTGTGTCAAAATGCGTCCAAGTTGCTCTTGCTTCTCACTTCAAGCCCTTTCGACGAGGACGTGCGATCCTCAGCTAGGCCCCACCGCACTAGGTCCCAGCATTTCCCGTCATCTGTTAGAGGACAGGTCAGGCACTGGGAGGGCAGCTCACCAGGTTCGCATCGCGGGTTTGGACGAGGCTCTGAGGTCACCGGCCAAGGTGTGCGGAAACTCACCTGGAGCCCATGGAGCGCCCTGGGAACGTCTCTTCGGGTCGTGGCGTGGCAGGGCTCAGCGCAGGGCAGTCACACGCGTGTCGGAAGAGGAGAGGACCTGCTCCAGGAATCTCCAGGAGGTGTGGGAAGGAAACAACTGTTGGTGGCAATGGTGGTGGGGTCAAGCCTCTGCTGCGACCAATCGGGCACCGTCTGCATCCTGCGCACCTGAAGCAGGAACAGGTGAAGCAACTCTTGGGGCTTCGGGGCTCTCGCGCGGCGATCCGCTCCGCAGCCTTCCATGACTCCCAGGTCGCTCATGCGAACGCCTGTCTCCGGCCTGCGAGGAGGAAAAGCGCGTATTGAAGCACGGAGCTTGGCAGCCCGCAGCCTGGGCCGGGATCGGCGGGCGAGGCTCCGGAGGCCAACGTTCACCTGCGCGCTTCTTTCAGAGACTCAAGCGTCCTGCGGGAAGAGAGCTGTTCGCCAAGAGCCTCTGGCCTGGGCCTGGGCCTCCGCGGGCAGGGAGGCGGCCAGGCAGCCGAGCCAAGGTCGCCTCAACTCCCGAGCTTTTTGGATGTGAGGCTGGGTGGCTGGAGCTGCAGCGGCCGAGCCTCAGGATGGGTGGAGTGCTCGCCGGCAGCCAGGGGGAAGACCCAAAAGCAGCCTTGGCCCAGGGAGAGACTCGTGCCAGAGCCCCAAGAGCGCCTCATGTTTCATCTCTCATCTTTTTCAGGGCGCGTGGCGAGAACGGCCCAAAGTGTCCCGGAGACGATCTTCTGCCTTCGAGTGGGGACCAGACGCAAGGTCGTCTCTCTCTCAGCCTAGAATCCACAGCCGGTATGTTCTTCTTGCAGCAGTGCATATCATCCTCGTCGCAATACGTCGCAGTTGCTTCTGGCGGCAACGGTGGCATGCTGATCAAGCAGAACAAGGGCGACGGCAGCAGCATGACTCGCTGACAAGCATCACTTGGCTCGATGACATCACACGCAAACGAACGAAAAAAATTGGGGGCGCAAGCTCTCAAAAGCAGACAAAGCATGATTGCGTCAACAGATGTTTCTAGAAGTAACGACGTCACGAAACAAGCATGCCGGAACAAGCAGCATGCTTACGGTACTCTGTACCACAACGTCCCACTTCAGACCTCCATCTGGAGCACAGAGATCGGGCCATGGCTCACATTCGATAGGCAATCGGACCTATTGACACCCTGTGTTCGGGAAGTCACCAGAGGAATCTACGTCTGGCTACCTTCGCCGAGACCGTCACCGGCACTTCTCATGTAGACTGCAGTCCAGCCGCGACGCGCAGGGGCAGGCAGCTAAGGTCTTCATGACCTAGCATTCGGACAGACACCCATATAACCATGTCCTGCCCTGACTAGGTTTGAACTTCAAGCTCATGAGACAGAAAGGAAAGTCTCTCTTGCTGGTGCAAAGTGCAACATCGCAGATCCGGACCGACATATCAGGATCTGTGTTCGATAGTTCAACCCCAATGAAGTCTTGCGGCCATGTCCTAAGGCCTGTAGTCCTTTTGGCCATTTTTAAGGCGAACCAGCAAAAGGTAGCACGCGAGCAAGCTGGATGCAGTCCTTGCCTTCGTCGTCCGAAGTCCAGCTTCACCCTCGTTGACACGGCTGGAGCTCCGTCCCTCCGAAGTGTCGTTCACGCAGAAAAGGCTGCGATGCCAAACAAGCTAAGGCATGCAAGCGATCCACGCTCCAGATCTTTTCGCGCATCAAACTAGCCGGCGGCTGACCTCGAGCAGGTTCCAACGCGGGGGCAAGCCGTCTGTGCTCGTCACTCTAAAAGTGTGGCCTTCGTGCAGGGAATGGTCCCATGGCCTGCGCTGCTCAGAGCTGCAAGCGCGCTGCACTGCTCTGCAAAGTTGTCTGCGTGCCTTCTCGTCGAAGGCCTCGAAAGGGCCTCGTTCTTGCAGGAAGTTTCCGCAGCGCGCGAAGGTCAAGTCGCCTTCCGCCGAGCCGTTGACACCTGGGCCGACTGCACCCAGCGAAAGCTGCCTAGCCTCCCCCTCCGCTCTGGGACCAAAACAGAGGCTGGCAAACTTCAAGTGGCCCTGTCGAAATGTCCACTCCTCACAGGGAACCAACCATCCCATCCTATGTAACATACCCCAGGGCGGCCCAACGCCTGCATGGGAGAGCTTTGTATACAGCGATAAAGCCTCGAGTCGTCTCCAGAGGTACAGACTTCCCACACTCGGAAGTTTAGTGCGGCGAGTTCACAGCACCTTTGCACCGACCTTCTGCGTCTCCGCCGCATCGGCATCCAAGCACCTCAAATGCCACTGGCCCGGATTTACACAGCAGTTTATCAGCGTGACGCCAGAAAAGCTCGGCCGCGGTGCGTCTCCGTGTCGACATGCTGCAGGCTGCGCCCTGTCGGGTCGGACAATACTCGTCCTCTAAAGGCTCTACCCCTAGGCCCGTAAGTAGTTCCGTTATGGGATTACCTTCTAGGATTCTAAATATGAACCACTAAAAGGAACTACTTAGGGGCTGAGCTCTGAGGACGCTGCCCTTGTTCGCGTAGGTCCATCGAAGACGCCTGTCCTGGCCACTCGCAGAGCCAGAGCTTGTGTAGATGCAAAATCGCGGGGTCCTCCGTGTGGCAGGGCCCTTCAAGCAACCGATGCGTCCGCCGCTCCGGTAGAACGCAAAGGTTCGTGACCTGGGGGGCTCCCGGATCAAGGTTTCAGGGCGCAGAATTGTGCTTCCACAGCTCACGCATGCCAAAGACGTTGACTCCGGTCAGAAGTTGAAGCCCAAAGCAACAACATCCAAATACCTAATTAGACCCTCCATCTACCCTCTACAGACCCTAAATACCCTTAATTTGGGACCCTGTACCCCCTCTTTGAGGGTACGTGGAGGGTCCTGGTACTTTCCCGCAAAACCTTAAGTCCTGGAGCCGAGGCAGCCGAGGTAGCGATTCGGAAGCGGGGCCGAGAGAGCTGAGAACCAGGAACAGCTAAAAAGGAACCCGGGGGGAAGTGTTCCTTCTCAGTTCGACCGCCCACTAAGACTAAGAGGATGAGACTCAATTCTTTGAACCACTCAAGATCGCGTGCCGGTTTTGGTGGCGAAGCTCCGCGATGCCTCTGCCGCACACTTCCAAAAGCGCTCGGAAGCCTCACTCATCGTCCGACCGCGACTGCCCAGATTCCGATGAAGCTCCACTATTGCCCGGTGGGAGAAATGGACTGCGAGAGTGAATCTTTGCACCGTTGCGCAATCGACCTCACGCACATCCGGACCCCATTCGTTGCCATTTGCGATAACGTTCACATACAGGAGAGGCTGGGGCACCACACTCCTCAGCACCAGCATTGCAATCATGTCGGAGAACAGTTTCTTTCCCTGGGCCAAGATCGCGTGTTCCTCGCCTTGCTCCACAGCAACGGATACGAGAGCATGTGTCATGCGATACCACTCCTCCTGTGTGCCCGACAGCAAGGCGGGAACATGGTTCTGGTAAATGGTAAAGCTGCCGTTGTTGGGCAAGTCTATGTCTGGCGTTAGCCAGGTCGGGATCACGTCGTAGTCCGACATCCAACCGCCTCCTGCTTCGGCCATAGCCAAGTAGCGCATGTAGCAGTGGTAGTCGTATCTTGGGTTGTTGCCCAGAGGGACCTTTGTAAGCAAGTCTCTTTCTACCTGGCTAAAGTTCGCCGAAGTCTTTGCATCCTCTATAGTCAGAATCCGGGTCTCCCAACCAGCACGGCGCCAAGCCTCTTGCCAAGCACTGAGCGTGTTTGTTGCTTTGTCGGACGGATCGTCTTCGTTGGTGTAGTAGGTGTGCATGACCCTCAAAGGCCTCCTCCCCTGGCCTTGAAAAGCGCCCCAGAACTCCGAAACGTGGGAGGCAACACAAGGTCCCGGAGATGGCCTCAGACTCGGCTCTAGGCAGCCGGAGCCCTGCTTCTCTTTGCTGCAGAGACTCGGGCAGGAGCGACCTTGCGGACCGCTGCAGTAGTCCGCAGAGCCGGTCTGTATGGCAAGCTGCGAGCCTTCTGGACAAGTGGGCACCTTCGGCCACGTTTGCTTGCAGTTTCGCCATCTCTCCCAGAGAGTCTGCGAAAGCTCTCGCTTCATCAGCCGCGTCATCGCAGCACCCACGTGCTCTGACACAGCGGAACTGGAAAGGCACAGATGGCGAGCTGTTGTGTTGGGGTTGCTGGACATGCCAACATCGACAAGTGGTTGAAGCATCGATGCGGACACCTCCCTCTCGCCACGCACGCCCACGAAGAGTGCCATGGAACGCACGACGCTGGTCAAGTTGCTGTAAAGATCATCGAAAAAGAAGACTTGAGCGCGAGTGTCGTCAATCTCACGCAGGCGCATGACAAACTCGTGTCGCATATTCACCCATCGCGACACAGGTTGTATGTGCCTTAAGACGAAGAGCTCCATGGATGGACAGTCTGGGTTGGTCTTAGCTCTTCGGAAAGCAGAAATCACGATGTCTCGGGGGTCTCTCAGGAAAACGAGGACCTGCGCGGGCTGCCCCGCATGTAGGAATAGCCTCGCTTCTTCATGCATGTCTGTGGCATTGCCTACGGGCGGCCAGACGTCTTTGCAGCTGCCGTCGCTGACATTGTCAATATACATTGCATCCGTCCCGCATGTGACATCTGAGGAGCAGTTAAGCTTACTGAAACAGCGGAGCTTTGCCAGCTGATTCAGCACGGTACAGGCCACTCCGAGATCACTCCCTCCGGTTGCGGCGCCGGCTTCCGACGGGAGGAGGAGCCGAAAGCTGGCGTTTCCCTCTGCCCGAAGTGGGAAGAAATCAACCCTTCCTGGCCCTGGCAGTGCTGGCTCTGCCAGCTTCGTCTTAGCAGCGGGCGGAGTAGCGCCTATCGGGCCTATCGACTGCGGAGACTGACACGCCCACCAGCGATCGGCCGCCTTCATCATAAGCTTGCTCCGGTTCTTGTTTCTCAATTCTGCCCTTGCAATCGAAGCATCAGAGAAGTGCAGGGCCAGGGTCATCTGCTGCATTACCTGACAATGTGTCATCGGAAGATTCCGCCAAGTATCGGCCTCTGCAACCACGTTCATGAAGACAAAGTCTCGGTCCTTCTGAAACCTTAGGGCCTCCAAGGCCTGCCTTTCCGAGAAAGATGGACGATCCTTGTGCTGCAGCCTTTCTTTCAACATCTTCTTGGCTGCCTTCAACCACTCCGCCTTGGAGCCGGACATGAGGGCGGGGACCTCGTTCTGGTAGACCGTGAAGGTCCCGTTGTTTCCTGGCTCCATGTCCGCAGTCAAATACGTGGGGATCAGGTCGTACTCGGACATCCAGCCCCCTCCGGCGGAGGCCATTGCCAAGTAGCGGAAATAGCCTTCAAGCTCGGAGCCATAGCTATAACTCCCGGGCCTCAACTCTGCCCAGAGCGTCTCATTCAACTCTTCGAACTCCGGTGACTTTTGGGCATCGCTGAAGGTCAGCACGCGTGTGGTCCACCCCGCCCGTTCCCAAGCATAGCGCCAGGCGGAAAGCCTGGTGTGGACCTCGTGGGCTTTCGATGTCTTGCTTGATGGCAGGACGTAGGTGTGGATCACGCCCCGTGTTTCCAGGCTGGGTGCCACGTGCTGAAACCAATCGCCCGTGCTATCCACGCGACAAGGTCTCGGAACAGGGCCGGAGGACATCGAAGCACAGAAAGGTGGCTCATGTATTCGATGGCAAAGGTCCGGGCAGCCTTGGGCATGTTTGCCACAGCTGTCGCCTAGAAGCCCTTCTCCGCGGTTGAGCTTCCTTCGGCAGGTCTTGGGCCAGAGCGGAGGGCACAAGACCTGCCATCGTTTCGCCAGATCCAAAGGCAGCTCCTTGGCCATCGCACGGGTCAAGGACGCCGCCAAAAAGTTCGGGAGCAAAGAGTTCGCAATGCAAATCGCCCCTTTTTTCCTTCCTCCTTCGGCCAAGGACCGAAGCTCCGGCTCTGCCAAGGACAGACCCAGGAACTGCGCCAAAGCGCTGAGCAGTCGGCTCCGGCTGGCGGCACGGTGGAAGTCTTCGTAGTAGAAGATTTCTGCTCTCTCGGGGCTCTCCCGCTTCATGGAAGTGAAGATGCGATAGCCTAGCTCTGCGGATCTCGAAACAGGCCGGATGTTCTGCATTAGGAAAAGGTTCAAATTCTCGCAACCAGCGTGCGCTGGCACGTCGCACGCCGAAATCAGGACGTCTCGCGGATCCCGCAGAAAGAGCACGAAACGGGTGCCTGCGCTCGCACGAAGCATCGCTTCACTTGCCGGCGGCGAAAAAAACGATGCATCACCAGATGGAGAGTCGCTGCAATTCGTCGTAATTCTGCAGCCACCACCACTTCCTCCACTGTCCGTCAAGCAGCTGCGGTTGGCCAGCTGCTGCAGAACCTGGCAAAAACCTTCCGGCTCGCTCCCCTTAGATGCAGTTAGGACCACCGAGACGACGGAACTGGTCTCCGTCGTCTCTGCTGCCTCCGGTTCTTCTTGTGCGGTCTCCTGCTCTTTGTCAGGCTGAAGCTCTGTGCTTTGCGGCTGCGCAGGTGCGTAGGCAGTGCGGGAAAAAATCACTTTAACTCTTCCGAAGGTCAGGGGGTCGATCTTGCCAACTGCAAGAAGCAGCAGGGGGTAGCTTGCACCAAGCACGATGACAATCAGCAGCGATCGGCGAAGGATCTTCCGGAAGCACTCCATGCAGCCACGCTGAGCTCATTGGAGCTCTCCTTGCTGGAGGGGGCCGCACCTCCTTTCAAACTCCACAACTCCGAGCTTCATTATAATGGTAGTATCGGGTCACCGGGCACAGAGTCGTTTCACATGGGGGGCTTGAGAACATGCTGCGATGTACGCAGGACCATGCAATGGCGATGCGAGGTGGGGAACCGGGCACAGCCACTCTGACATCGAGGATACAAGATTCATCAAGATTCCATGAGTGCCTGGCAGTGTCACGGATCAGGAACATGTCCTTGGGCAGTGAGTGCATGACACAAAAAGGAGCAAATGTCAGCAGGGAGGCATGCCGCATAAAGTTGCATGAAGCCCAAGCTGCTTTGGGCAACATGTTCTTGCTCTCAAAGACATCCTGTGCAAGGCGCAAGCTGGCGCAGGCTGGCGCAGGCGCAAGCTGGCGCAAGCGTCTGCCGATACATCTGCAAAAAGGAGAACGGCTTGTCCCTGACCCCGGCCTTGAACTTCGCGACATACCTAGAAAAGGCTCGGCATGACTGGAAGCCGAAAGCTGCTCTGTGCTCAGGTTCTGGCCAACTGAAGGGCTTGCAGTTCAGCTGGGTCTTCAACGCTTCTCGATCTGAGATATCACCTGATGTGCTTAAGCAAGAGATGTATTTCTCTTCAACCGCTTGCTGCAGGGCTGCCCATGTTGGAAACGAATCGCTGCGCCGCGGGATCCGCAGCCTTGGGATGAAAATCGCACGAGCTCGCACAAGAGCCATGTGAAGTGACTGCACGGGGGGTATTGCCTGCGTGCCTCATCTGGGACTTGCTATCGAAGCGGCATAGAAGAATCGCTTGTAGTCGTCAAACCAGGTCTCCACTGTCCGCACCTTGTTGATGTAGACTTCCTGACAACCCATCAGACAAGAGCAGGAATAGAAGCTGAAATACGATCAGCCACTTTGGCAGGAACATATGCATCTAATGTGCGCTACCCGGGGTTGAGGGGAACCTCGAGGTAGTAGGAACAGCGTAACTGTTGTAGCTAGCCTGGGCAAGACGATGCTCCTCAGAAGTGAAGATACGACATTATGTGCTCCGGTTGGTACCTGCAATAAACTCAGCCTTGCACGTTTAGGTCTGGGTGTGACAACCGAAGGGTTGTCAGGTTCGAGATGAAGGATACTCATGTAGATGCGCCTTCATGCCTTCGCAATGCCTGTGGCTCTGCTCTCGAATCTCGGCAGAAAACGCATGACAAGGTTATGATGATTATGCCGAGGCTGTGCTGGTCACCATGCCCTAGCCGCTAGCCAAATCCTGAGATCGCAGACAATACATGGTGAGCGGCGGTTGCCCATTCCGTCGGACAGCTGCAAACCCCCTTCTCAGATGGGCAGCTCGGTCAGTTCACATTATAAGCGGTGGCATGCATGGCATAACACGGTGCAAGCCGCCAGGCATCGTCCCAGTAATTGCAAGAAAGGCTCGGTGTTGTTCACCGCATACGGGAAGGATCTTCGGAAAACGTGGGCCTCAGGGGCAGGGCAGAATGCATCAAACAGGTAAGCCTGGTTCACCGAAAAGGTCCACCTTACAAGTGCCGCGTGCAGCACCGCGAACCAAACATCCGTACCCAGCTCGGGCATGCAATTGCAAGACAACTTGTCAAGAGCCACTGGGAGATGGTGATTTTGGAGCGTCCACACAGGGCTTATGACTAGAAACCACGACCTTGGGCATGTGGGCCGGAAGAGCGCAAAGCGTCATCGTGGCCCCTGCCACCAGCCCACCCATC